AGGGCGACAGCATTCTGTGCCGCTGAGCCGCGCGGTCCAGGTGAGCGCGCGTTTCCCGTCTCGGGGGGGTGGGCGGTCGCCAGGGACGCCCCTCCCCGGGGGCTTCCGGTGCCAGGCGCCACCGCGTTCTTTCCCCGCAGCATTTCTGAGCGTAAACTCCCGAGTATGCAGACACCTTTCTCGCTACCACCCGGAGAGCAAGTGAACCCGGGCTTCACTTTAGGACTCAGGGTGCACTGGGGAGAATGGGCAGCACTCGCCCCGTGCCCCTCTCGGTCGCCGGGGGTCGCTCCTGGTCCTCCCTGGGCCCCCGTGGGAGGGCACCTCGTGGGCCCGGAAGCTGCCCGGCTGTTTGCCCGCACAGTGTAACACCCACGAAGAGGACGTGCAGTGGGTCCCCTGGCCGGTCTTCCCTCGGCCTCCCCGGCGCCTGGGCGGGCGCGGACTGAGGGTGTTTTCTGGCCCGGTGGTGTGTTTTGGGTTGTTGATCAAGCATGTCTTGAGTTTGGTCGGTGGCGCCAGTTAGTCTGCCGCGAGAAGGTTCACACACCCCCTCTATTCATTCCTCTTCCACAGGTGTGCGGCCGCCTGAGCCCGAGCCAGGAGCTCTAGAGGGAGGGGGAAGAAAGAGCAGACGGTAGAGGAAAAGCCACCGGAGGAAAGGAAAAAAATTAAATCAGCAAATCTAGAAACCTTTTCGCTCGTCATTCCAAGAGAAAGGGAGAGGGGAAAAAAATAAAATTTTCATCTTTTTGTTTTTGCACGTTCATAAACATTCTACATACGTATTCTCTTTTGTCTCTTCATTTATAACCGCTGTGAATTGTACATTTGTGTTTTTTGGAGGTGCAGTTAAACTTTTAAGCTTAAATGTGACAAGACTGATAAATAGATCAAGAGTAAATCTGACTTTAGAAGGCTACTTTATGACCAAGGAGCGCAATTTTTGTTTTGAAGCTTTACTAATATACCCCAGAGCATTGTAGATATTTTTTTTGTACATCTATTGTTTAAAATAGATGATTATAATGGGGCAGGGAAGTTTCTTTTCTCTGCAAGAATGTTACATATTGTATAGATAACTGAGTGACATTTCATACCATGTATATATAGAGAGATGTTCTATAAGTGTGAGAAAGTATATGCTTTAATAGACTACTGTAATTATAAGATATTTTTAATTAAATATTTTTTGTAAATATTATGTGTGTGTTTTTTTAATCTATGGGAATATTTCTTTTGGAAAATTATTTTTCAGCTCAATTGCAGAGCTGCAGATATCGTGAATGTCTTTTCTGTTTGACCTTGTTTTTCATTTGTTTTTCTTTTGCCCAGAATCAGTAGACTCGGAAGTAACAGTGATAGGTAGTGGTCTTGCATGACGGCATGAGATGTTTAATCACAAATAAACTTGTCCGGAGTCCATTCAAATGTGTTTTCTTTAATCTACATTGAAATCTTTGTATTTGAAGTGTATATGTTGAAAATATACCTTATCAGTTTTTGAGTACAGGGTTTTATAGTGTAATATATAGAGTGGTTTTTTTTTGTTTGTTTTATAACTGAGGTCAAAATGGATTCTGAATGACTTTGCAAATAGAATAAGGAAATGCTTGGATCCTTAAGGAGTTTACAAAAATCTGCTGTTTTATCAAAGTGAGAAAAATTGCTTGTCACTCTTCGGTTTACACTAAAGCATAATGTCACAAAGTTTCATATCTGTACAGGTTATTTAAAAAATACGAATGAAAAATGTTCTCTGCTTGCTACCAAAGGACAAACTCTTGGAAATGAACATTTTCTGCTTTCCTTCCTCCAAAGAATATTAATTAATAGGCAACAGTGGGAGAAAAAAAAAAGGCATAATGGCAGATCCTTCAAGCAGGGATAAAAGTCGATCTTCAAACATTAAGTAGACCAAAAATTCTGATGACCGCATCTAGATTATTTTTTTATGAAAATGATTTTCACTATAGCTATGTCAGTTACCGCTAAGCTACTGTCCAATCTCTTGTGATGTGTAACTTTTACATGTGAGAATTAAAGTAGATTTATCTGCCTTGTACTGTGATTTCTGGTCTTATTTCTTTTAAAACCTTGAAATATTTTGAAGGGCCCTTTTCAAGAAAGGTAATATTTTCTATGTTAGGACCATCAGGGTTCATGAACGTCACACATTTAATGTGATGGGTACCTTACACACCAGTTAGATGGAATTTTTAGAGGGAGAGAATTAAGTAGGATTTAATTGGGTGCTTTGTAAATAGTCAACTGTGTGTGTAACGTGTTCTGTTTGGTTTTTAAGAGGAAAAGATTTGTTTCAGATTATACAAGAATAAAAGTATTATAGACCCATGGGACTTTTTATGAGGTCGAAGTCAAATACTTATTTGAATATGAAATACGGTCCCTAGTAGTGAGCTGAAGTGGCAGTGTCTCAACAGAAATGAACAAAATTAATGCTACTAGGTTAAAATCAATCAAAGCATTTAAAATCTGTTCTGTTCCCAGCCTGTGTTCTCCTCAGCTCTGATATTTTACTGGCCTTGAGTTTTTAAAATTTGTTCTATTTGATACTGAACCTTACAAAGTCAAAGGGCTGCTTATTTAAATGAGATTTATGTTTATTTTTGATATTATTCATTCTTGTCACACATCAAGAGGAAAACACTAGAACACTGCTGGAATTCCAAATCTGAAGAATTCTAACGAGTGCATTCTTTGTTATTAAAAAGGGCACAATTCCTCCTTTTTATTTGGCAGTTTAATTTCAGTAGGAAGCCCATCACGTGTGCCCAGTTGGAGCTTCGTTTGTGGTGCCTGACTGCTGAATCCTACGTAAGCCTCTGAGCAGAGTTTAAAACTTACACTGGTGGTCTCTGAACCTCATAACAAGCGAATAGATATTTTTAATTTTTGAAGCTGAATGTTGCTCCTTAGTTAAGTTTTTTTCATTAAGTTTATTGGTACTTTTTAGGCATACAGTATGGTTATGTTCATCATTGGGGTCTTGTGATGTATCTTAGTTCTTATTTTTCCCCCTTCCCCTGCCCTCCCTTCACCCCCTCCACCCTTCCCTGTTTACAAAGACTTCATTTTAATTTTTTCCTTTTCTCATATTTTTTCTTTTCTCTTCTTTCCCTTGCCCTACCCCTCACACTTCCACTACCCCTTTAGCCCTTTTCTTCCTAGTTCACATTATCAATTATACAATTTGAACCTCATTTACACTTTAAATTTTTCACACCAGAGGAACTATTCGGCATTTACACATATGTGTGTCCTATTTAGTTAAATTTATATTTGAGGCATGAAAAACCACTAAAATAAAAGTATTGTGGATCTTAGGTCTCAGAGAGTTGACATTTTTCCCTTGCACTCAGGCAGCATTTGATTTCTCTAAAGAAACAAAGTTACTGTTTATTGTTTTAGAAATTACACACAGTTGTGTAAGATACTACATTCTAGTAACATGATGGCTGTGCCCTTAACCAAGCAACCACATAACAAAAACATGGTCTTTTATCTAGATAGTTCTAGTTACGAGATACTTAATTTCATAAAGGAAAAAAAATTTGATTTCTCTCATTCAGTTTGTAGACTTTGACTACATAGGTACAACCAAAGAATAAGACTCACTTAAAGCCCACAAGGAAAATAAGTACCCTACACAGTGGATGTTATTTCTGAGTTGGTTTTAAAATCCTGACATGTTAAGAGAAAAACAGTGACATCATTTCAAAGAACTTTGATATTGTATAAATTATATTCAAGTTTATTGTTGAGCTTTAACTACATTTTTAAAACTTAAAAAAAATTTGGCCCCCTGAAATCTGTTATATTAAAAGCCCTCTATAACAATAAATCTTCACTGAGCAAAAGGTTCTGAAGTTTGTAGTTCTTAATTGACTTTTACTGAGTTACGCAATTTTTCATTATCAGGAATGGACCTCTTGATGGATCACCTCAATTAATTACAGTGTTTCTTACTGTGTGATGAAAAATGTGGCTTAAAAATGGTGATATGAACAGAAAGGAAATTAGTCTGAATGGGAAAAGCTGCTGAACTCCTTAGTGTCTCTTACAACAGGAAGCAATAATCCTAAAGAAGGCAGCAGGATGATGTCCAGGGAAAACAAGATTTTTAAAAGGTACATGAAGGAGACTATTTCACAGTAGTGCAGAGCCAAATAAAACTGGCTTTACCTTTCCAGTCGGCACACTGTAATTATATATATGTTAATCAACCCAGATAGGCCTTGGATCTCCCAGGGCCCAAGCCCCAAACCCTCCAGAGTTAGGAGGAAGGAAAACCTTCCCCTTGCTGCTTTGTGAGTCCAGGAAATTAATTTCCCCATACCAAGATGAATCTTAATAGGGCTGCCCTCAGTAGGTATTCTTCGGACCCAGATGATTACTTTCAATTATAACCCATGACATTTTGCTAAAATACTCGTCTTATTAATTAAAACTGTTGCCCAACAGGTTTTCAGACTATAATTTTACGTACAGCTCTATCTGGAGCACTGATTCAACTGATACCTTAAAAGATGAAAACCATTACAAAGGAACAACTTTTTTTTTTTCCACAGGAGACAACCTGCAGTCAGGTAGATGTAACAGAAAATGCTCCAGATTTCGAGTGAAATTTACAAATGTGTGTTATGTGCAAGCACCTCTTTCACAGCTATTCATATCCTGGCTTCTACAAAGTTTCACCTAAGTGTTAAAACCCAGGTCTCAACCACATTGCCAAGGCTTTTCTACACTCACCAAAGCACAGCAATTGGGCAGCGAGGCTGCAGATGTTGGTTCCATCATTCATAAGTCTGCACAGTAAATCCACACATGCAAGATGCAGAGCTGTAAAAGTGGAAGTTAATTTGAAAAGCCCCTCTGAGTCCACAAAAGGGTAAAACACCTTAGTTTCTGGGGAGAGAGGAGCAAAATGTATTACCTCTGTCCCGCTGGCTGAAAGATGACTACAGAAGAACTGATTTTCAAATGTTTAAATAAAGAGAACCAAGACTTCTACATGAATCCACTTGCATTTGAAATCTCACACTTTAAGTGGGAACTTTCACAGAGATACATACATGTTGGTAAAATATGCAAATTTCTAGTGAAACAAGACACCATCATTTGCTTCTAATTACCGTTCTTCAATTCTTTTTCATATAAAGTGCCTGTTAACACTGTTGATGTCCATATTACAGTCAAAAGTTAAATTTTTATCTTTTATGCCAAAGTTTAATTTCCAAAGGAAAGTACCACAGTCTTACAGTTCTTCCTATTTCTAAACTATTTACTTAAATATTTTAAATATTTCTTAAATATTTTAAACATTTGCTTAAATATTTTCTTAAATATTTACTCCTTTCTTCATAAGCTTTAGCAGTCGATTGACAGACTGTAGTTGTGGGTGTGTGAACCAAAAGTAGTCAATGTACAGGAAAATAGACATGCATTCTAAAAAATAAGTAAGCTACATTAACTTTCCTGCATCCTCTCTGATTTCTAAGATTGAGTGCTTCCACAAAAATGTATCCCCCCTGCTTTTTTTTTTTTTTTTTTTTG